TATCCCACACAGATACATATATACTGTGATAGTATCCAACACATACACATATTTTCTGTGATATTATCACAAACAGATACATATATACTGTGATAGTATCTCACACGGATACATATATACTGTGATATTATCCCACACATACACATATATACTGTCATAGTATCCCACACAGATACATATATACTGTGATAATATCCAACACAGATACATATATTATTTGATAGTATCCGATAGTATCCCACACATATACATATATACTGTGATATTATCCCACACATACACATATATACTGTCATAGTATCCCACACAGATACATATATACTGTGATAGTATCACACACATATACATATACACTGTGATAGTATCCCACACATAAACATATATACTGTGATGGTATCCCACACATATACATATATACTGTGATAGTATCCAACACAGATACATATATTATTTGATAGTATCCCATACAGATACATATATACTGTGATAGTATCGTATACAGATACATATATACTTTGATAGTATCAACCATAGATTCATTTATACTGTCATAATATCCCACACAGATACATATATATATATATAATGTGATTGTATCCCACACGGATACATATATACTGTCATAGTATCCTAAACACAGATACATATTCTCTGTGATATTATCACACACATATACATATATACTGTGATAGTATCCCACACAGATACATATGCTCTATGATAGTATTCCACACAGATACATATATACTGTCATAGTATCAACCATAGATTCATTTATACTGTGATAGTATCGTACACATCTAACTATACACTGTGATAGTATCCCACACAGATACATCTATACTGTCATAGTTTCCCACACATATATATATACTGTGATAGTATCCCACACAGATACATATATACTGTGGTAATATCCCACACAGATACATATATACTGTGATAATATCCCACACAGATACATATATATACTGTAATAGTATCCCACACAGATACATATACAGGATAGGACTGTTCATTGTGACGAATACAGAGTGGGACGGTACATTGTAACGATTACAGAAAGGGACTGTTCATTATGACGAATACAGGACGGGACTGTACATTTTGACGAATACTGAGTGGGACGGTATATTGTAACGATTACCGAACGGGACTGTTCATTGTCGTGATTACAGGACGGGACTGTACAGTGTGACAATTACAGGACGAGACTGTGCAGTGTGACGGTTACAGGACGGGACTGTACAGTGTGACGGTTTCATGACGGGACTGAACAGTGTGACGGTTACAGGACGGGACTGTACAGTGTGACGGTTACAGGACGGGACTGTACAGTGTGACGGTTACAGGACGGGACTGTACATTGTCACTTTTAGTGGACGGGACTGTACAGTGTGACGATAACATGACGGGACTGTACAGTGTGACGGTTACATGACGGAACTGTACAGTGTGACGGTTACAGGACGGGACTGTACATTGCCACTTTTAGTGGACGGGATTGTACAGTGTGACGACAACATGACGGGTCTGTACAGTGTGATGCTTAGTATTAGACACGTTTGGAGAAATATAAGTTATTCCATTTGCGGTTCTAACTTTCCACTTCCACCGCGATATTCTGTAGACGGTTTAAGTGCGATGCTCCATCAGTGAAATAAACTGTGGTCGGAGGCACAGACAGACAGACATTCTTTATATCCTCTGATAAGAGATTACATGGTTCTGTCGTTTTTAACAATTTCAACAATTTACAGCATGAATACTACATATTTACATAATACTACAGTTTCTTACTGTATTCTTCAAACTATGCTCAAGAGCTAGAGCTGCTCTGGAGAAGTATGTTCATTTCTTTAAACATCCCAGCAAGTTTGTCACTTATAGCAACTATCAGATTGTCCCATTCTCCATCGTCCAAAGAAATATCGGTCCTTCCACCTTTCACTACAAAGCATGTACATGAACATGTACATTCAAGTTTCCTCCACGCGGTACAAGGGTGTAACGTGGAGTCATGGTCAATCTTGATGTAGGAAGAACGTACCGGTGGAACGTGAAGTTAACCTAGTGCATTACACTAGCCTACCACTCGACGCTCCCTCCACGATCGCAGCCAACGTGTATTCTCCACGGTGGAGAGCGGAGTTGACATTTTTATACCTCCCCTCCGCGAAACGTGGGATCGTATGCCTCCAAGCGGTGTGTAGTGTATCTCTAGCGCTTGAAATCTTATCTGGTACACACGACATAATAAGCACGCAACTAGCGCGACCAGTAAATAAATAGTTTAATATTAAAGTGTCTTGTTATTACATTTATGATTGTTATTTAAGCAATAAAATGCATAGATGTGGCAGTAATACCAGTTGGTCTGCCACATCTATGCAGTTTATTGCTTATATCTATATTTTCTGTCAAGTATCCAGTAATATTTCAGCGATGAATTACAGTCCTACAATAAGACAAAGATTTGTATTGTTATATTTTTACCAGTATTATAAAATGACCAGACTTAATTACTTGTATGGCTATTTCCACTTCAGCAACAGGAACATTGTTTCTTCTATATAGTCCATACCTTCTCAAAATTATATTCAACTGCCTCAAGCTGGAAGAGTAAATTCCATTACGTGCTCTACTGCAACCTGAATTACAATAAAATTATTATAAAACTGGATGATTTCCACAAAAAAATATTACAATTGAGTAACCAGAATTTTAATAAACACATGAATTGTAATAACAACTCTAATTGTAAATTATAATCATTAAACTAGTTGAGATCCACATTATTTACTATAATTGGGTAGTAATGTAATACATATAAAGAGAGGCCACATAACGGTTTTTAAAGTTCTGGTCCTTTATATGTGGTAAATAATGTATAATACTATTCATACACCATATTGTGTATATCTAGTGCCCTTTGAAAGCAAAGAATTGTGAAACACGACTTCTCTTTTTTTTACATTTTACAATTCACGTGCCTACTCAACTTTGCGGATCTCAATTTCTCCTTCAGATTGTCACGTTATCCTGATACAATGTACAGGACTTGCCACTTCTAGCTACAATGTATTCCGATCGACAAACCAGGAAGCTACTAGACTGCTTATTTCATAGGCTTTGAGTTGACAAGTTCCGGGGAAGAAAGCGCCAAAATAACGCGAAAAAGCGCCGAAACGTAACGCGAAAAAGTGTTAGCCATGTCGATTTTTCGCTTTTTCGACCGTGAAAAGCGAGAACGGCACTAATCAGCCGCCATAGATATGTCTGTTTCCCGTAATATGACAAGTCAATCTGTGCTAGTCCACAATCAATATTAATAACAAAACTTTAAAAGATAAAATAAAACTGTTGGAGCAAAAAATTGTTAACATAAAACAAATTTCTCAATTATTTACAGGGTACAGTTATAATGCCACATGCCTTCCTGGACCTGAAGACTCGTGCATTGGTGACCTGAAGTGTAAAACATTCAGGGGGGGATATCGATGTCTGTGTGACCAAGATGCTTTATATGATGGCAACATATGTCAACGTAAGTAGTGAGAAGATGAATACTTTCAAAGTAATTTTCCCATTTGTTACAGATTTTTTTCTGACGCCGATTGAGTTAAAAGAAATTCCCCGAGCCAAAATAATCAGTTGGAAGAAGTTTGTTTTTTACCAGATTGACAGGGATCACATTTGCAGATCCACAAACTTCTTAGGACAGATTTTTTTACGCTATTCTTAGAAGACTGTTCTAGAGATCGTTTCAGGTGACGTGAATTTTCGGGTTTTTATTTTACTGCGATCAACTCTAGCATGCACCGAGTCTTTGTTTTCAGTATAAACCATATTTTAAAAAATATCTCTTCAGAAAAAAAAAACTCAGTAAGGTAAGATCAGTCAAGAGAAGTTTATCAGTTGTACATGTAATGAAAATCAGGGGATGTTACTGTAGGTAAGGAGCACTAAAAGATCGTTCTCTAGTGTTTTGTCGCAAGCAGGGGACAGGAATCCTTCATACAGATGAAATGAAAAATAATGTTTGCGGTGTTCCCTGATTTTACTACTCTCGGTGTCCGTCTCTGTCTCCGTGGTAGGTCTGCCTCAAAATGAGAAATGTCTAGTTGGCTGTTGTGCGCACATTGCTTCCTTGTTATGGTATTTGTAATTTGAACGCCACCAATTTGATAGCGCAAAGCTCAAGCAATTAGCAAACAAGGAAGTGCAGTAGACAAAATATTTAGGAGTGCTCCAGGTCACTACAATGTTTATTCTAGTGCACTACGGTGTTAACTCTAGTGTACAACAATGTTACCTCCAATGCTCGCTAGTGTTTACCTAAGTTTAAATGACTGAAGTATATAATTCAATAAGTGTTTATGATGAAATGGGGTTTTTCATGATAAGAATATTGAAAGAGTGAGAAAACATAAATTAGCTGACTATTTCAAAATAGCGATATACATATTTTTCTGATTAGAAATGTCATGAAATACTTGAACGAAGAGAAAAGGTACACTATATTTGGTGATGATGGAAAATGAATAGATGTCAGTATTACTTAAAAAGGAAAACAGTTTTAAAGTACATTTTCATTTCAGTAATAATTACCATAACTTTAGTATGCATAAACAATACCCACACCCATATTTGTAGCCCGAAAACAAAAGATTCAAATTCAAATACCCCGTCACGTAATTTCGGTAACGGTTGTTTGTTTCAGCAAACGTTGTCCATTGCACCGTTTCTGATTTGTATTTCGGGTGAATTTCATTCTGTGTTGCGTACTTTGTACTGACGAAGTTTATTTTACCCGTATTTCTTTACTTGTAAACTTTGTTTACTTTCGTTTTTGAGGGTATGTCTCGGTCGGGACAGCGACGTGGGTCAGCTGATGGGTGTTCCCATTTCTTCGGGAATGGGATCCTCATGATGCTTGTCCCCAGTGTCGTCCTTGTAGTGAGGTTTCGCCTGGTGCACTTTGTTCACAGGCTGGCTCTCAGGACGATGCCTTTATTATTCATGAGCGACCCTCAGCTTACCGTAAGAAAGATTTGTCTGTTTCTTCCGGAGGCGAGGGAAGCAGAGAGAGGGGTGGTGCCGCCGGCTGACATGGGTCTGGCGATACTGTCTTTTTTCCTGTTTCGGGGAGTCTCGCTTCGGCGAGTCCCTCTCGTGAACAGGGGATGACCCAGGAACTCCCTGGAGTAGGGGAGGGGCAGCCCGACCCTGGCTTGGCACAGCCCAGGGTCGAATTGACCGGGAACGCCCGTAAGCTTTTGTGCTTGCAATCGGGTAGGAACTACAGGCCACCGGTCACTGACTCCGGCATTCCATGTGATGCTGTCGTCGGGGACAGTCTTGGTGCCGGGCCTGTTTTTTCCGGTTCAGGTCCTAGGGTGACTACAGACTTTTTGTCGGGAGTATCTGTGTCTACCGGGATTAGTGATGCGCAGTTGACTAATCCCGGCACCAATGCTGGTCTGGCCTTCCCTCCTGCTCAGTTACCCGGACCCGGTCCTATTGGGTCCGGCCCGGAGTTTCATTCGGCTGGGAACCTGGGGTATTAGCTGGACAGCGGGCCGGTTTCCGGCCTCCGTTTTGCAGCTCAGTGTCGGCGACTTGTCAGGGTTGCACGCCACTGACTATGCCACACATGATGGGATGCTTGCCCCACAACCAGCTAATCTGGAATCGAAGGAACTTGCAGCCTGGCCCGGCAACTCAGTGGACCAGGTGGTGTTCAGCCCCAAGGAACACCACAAGATGGAGAGACTTCTGCGTCCAAATTCTGTCTTAAATAGACTACCTGACGGTGTGTCTTTATAGGGTACCCGACTTGCCTGAGGGTCGGATTACCGCAAATTAACAGGTGTCATCGCTCGTCAATGTCTTGTTTGCTAGGCGGTTTTCAGTTTTGAAAAGCCGTTCAGTTGATGAACCTTATCGCTCCCGTCTGTTGACTGCCCCCTTCGCAGGGTCCACTCTTTTGGAAGGGTCCCTTCCTTCTGTTCAGAAGGATTTAAAGAAGTTCGCCTCTGCACCTAAGAAGGCCATAACCTCGCTGGGGTCAGCGCCTCCTAAGAAGAAGGCTAAACCTTCGGTTCCGCAGTCTTCTGCGCAGCCCTAGTAAAAGCCTCCCTTCGAGGGCAACAAAGGTAAGGTAAGAAGGATAAGAACCCTTCTGGGGGTAAGAAAGAGGGTTCATGACTCTCTTCTCCCCTTCTTGGACATGTCAGACGACGGGTTTGTCCGGGGGGAGTGCAGTGCTCCCGGTTCAAACTTAGGTTCTTCTATCGCAGGATTAGACTTCGGGTCGGCAGACGGTTCTCTTGCTAGCACGGTCTCGATCTGTTTCAACCAGAGACAGGGGGAACCAGGTGTGGGACAGGCCCCACATATTCCTGTTTGCCACTGTTGCCAACGTTTGTCTCTTCGGTTCCAGAACCGAAGGCTTGGGCCGTGGACGCTATGTCTCTGGATTGGGAGGGAATGCTTCTATCCTTCTGATAGCGCCCCTGTGGCCGAGGCAGCCTAGGTTTCCGGAGTTTTTGTCGCTTCTGGTGGAAAAGCCCATAGCTTTCCCTCTCAGAGCGAACCTCCTTCGCCAGCCTCGGTCCGGATCAATGCACTCTCCCCCGGAGATCCTCCACCTTCACGCGTGGAAGCCTAGGTTTCCGGAGTTTTTGTCGCTTCTGGTGGAAGAGCCCATAGCTTTCCCTCTCAGAGCGAACCTCCTTCGCCAGCCTCGGTCCAGGACAATGCACTCTCGTCCGGAGATCCTCCACCTTCACGCGTGGAAGCTATATCAGGAGGCATTGCTCATGCGGGCTTTTCTAGGGACATGTCAGATCGCATCGCTAGATCGATTAGGTCTTCCTCATCTGACGTCTACCAGTCACGATGGAAGATTTACTGTGATTGGTTTGTCGGCAGGAAGGTTGATCCTATCAAGGCTACTGTCCAGGTGATTGCGGACTTCCTTCTTTGACTGTTTAGGGACCGAAACCTTGCCCCTGGCACTATCGCTGGTTATCGTACGGCGATTGCCAGTGTGCTCTCTCTTCATGGTAGGCCAGATGTAGGCTCATCCGCCTCTCTTTTCGCATTGATAAGGGGTTTGGGTTGGGTTGGGTTGGATAGGCCCATGGTCCGGCAGTTGGCTCCGCAGTGGAATTTGCCACTGGTGCTCGAATAGCTGATGCGGGCATCTTATGGGCCTTGTGCCTTGTCCTCTCATCCCTCTTGCCTCCGGTGGTCCAGGAATTACTCCGTTTCCCTTCGCACTGATCCTGCCTTCATGGCTAAGAATCAGGTTCCTGGTTTCTCGCCCGATTCTATTTAGATTCTGTCTTTCACTGCCTTTGTTTGGTCTGAGGAGCGAGATATGTTGCTCTGCCCCTGTCAGACTTTTACCTCGAGAAAACCAGGGGGCGGGGTCCTCGATCTCGTCTGTTTTTGCCCATTAAGCAGGATCAGCAGGATATCTCCTCTAAGTCAGTTTCTAGATGGATCTGTCAGGTCATCAAGTACGGTTACGACAACTCAGATGATCAGGTTCGGGCGTTGTATAAGGCGAGAGCTCATGAGGTCATGGTCCTTGCTGCTTTCTGGCGCGGACAGACTATCTTCACGGATTTTTATCTCTGGTCCTTGGCTTCTCATTCCGATGGATTGTTTTCCCTTGGACCGGTGGTGGTTGTACAGTCTTTGGCTGTGCCTCCACAGTAATTCAGTGATTTTTGACTAGTATGCTATCATGCACCTCGGTGGTACACCTGATCGTTGCACGGGGAGGTATTCCATTTCTTAATTACTTTCGGTGGTTTTTTTCGGGTGTTCCCTGAACATTTCCATACTTTGAGCATGTCTTGAGTTTGCTCCGTCAGCCTGGTCTGCCTGGATTCGAAGCCTCCATAACGGTAAGACGAATTCGCATACTTAAGTTATGGTAATTATTACTGAACTGAACATGAGGTTTTTGAAGTAAAACCAATTTGCATGATGTAATACTTACCATAACTTTATGGAGTCCCACTATTCCTCCCATTGCCTCCTCATTCCGGCTGCCTTTAGGCTCCACAAAAGGGGTTTGGGGATGGGAGATCACTCCGTGGCTCTGTTGTCGAGATATGGGTAACGTGACGGTAGGGAGGTCGGGATATTTGAATCCTTTGTTTTGGGGCTACAGAGATGAGTGTAGGGATTTGTTATGCATACTAAAGTTATGGTAAGTATTACATCATGAAAATTGATTTTATTTCAAAAACCTCAATTCATCATATTTAAATTCGCATCATATTCCATATAAATGTTGTATTGTCCGGATATGGGATCGGTAACTAGTATGTGATGTAGGTTAATAAACATGAAGTAAGTTGTGCTTTAACATTATACTTTATATGAACGGTTTCTTAATAACAAAACATTGATAGAGTAACTAATTCTCTCCTCTATTTTACAAAAAGTAAATAGTTTCATTAAATTCCATCACATGTACTTAAACATATACTTTACTGAGTCAAGAGGTTTATACAAACAAACAAA